TAAAGCGACTGTGATAAAAACAGCACAGTACTGGCAAAAACAAAACAAAAGAAACCCAAGATCAGAGACCAACAGACCAGAGAATCAAGGAACAGATTAGAAGGTACAGAAACAACTCCAAAAATATTCAGCCACCTTATCTTTGACAAAGGAGCCAAAAACCTTCAATGAAAGAAAGATAGCCTCTTTAATAAATGGTGCTGAAAAATACTGGCTTTCCACATGGTGGACATTAAAACTTGACTCATATCTTTCACCATGCACTAAACTAAAATTGAAATTGAACAAAGATCTAAATATTAAAACAGAAACACTAAGTCTCCTGAAAGAGTGAATAGGTAGAATTCTTGAAGACATTGGTGCAGGCAAAGACTTTATGAGCAAACAGTGTGGAAAAACATCTTGCCAGCTGTTCCTCGGACAAAGGACTAACATCTAGAATATATAAGGGATTCAAAAAAATCATACTCCTCAAATTTAAAGACCCAATCCAAAAAAGGGCATATGAAGTGAACACACACTTCTCAGATGAAGAATTACAAACAGCAAATATGAACATATGTTTGACATCACTGGTCTTTGAAGAGATGCAAATTACAACAACAGTGAGATTCCGTCTTGCTCCAGAAAGAATGGCTATTATTAAGAAATCAACCAATAACAAATGCTATCAGGGCTGTGGGGAAAGAAACACTGCTCCACTGGTGCAACCACTGTGGAAATCATTGTGAAGATTACTCAAAAAAGTAAAATGAGACGTTCCATTCAACCCAGCTCTTCCCCTTCTTGGTATCTTCTTGAAAGAATTAAAAGCATCCTACCACAGTGATATATGCACACTCATGTTTATAGTGGCACAATCTGTAATAGCTAAATCTTGGAAACACCCCACTTGGCCACCAACTGATGAGTGGATAAAGAAGATATATTTTTTAATACACTGGAGTACTACTCTTCTCCCATAAAGAAGGATAACTTTGTGACATTTCTGGCTAAATGGATGCACCTTGGGACCCTACTCTTGAGTGAAATAAATCAGACACACATGTGTAAATATCGCATGGTTTCTCTGGTATGAGAAACTGAAAAAGTAAATAAGAACCAAAATATATAATAGATATTGGAAAATGGGAAGAAAATGTTCAAATAAGAAGGGGGCATACATCAAACTGGAAACTGGATAAAGAAGATGTGGTTTTTTAATAAAATGGAGTACTACTCAGCCATAAAGAATGAGAAACTAGAGTCATTTATAGCTAAATGGATGCACATTGAGGCCATCCTCTTAAGTGAAATAAACAGGACACACATGTGTAAATACCAAATAGTTTCTCTAGTGTGAGAAACTGATAGTGTAATTAAGGATACACACGGATGAAATGGCCTAATAACATATTTCTAGGATTGTGTTTCCATTGTGTGTCATATGGCTGTATCGAAATTTAAATTAGGGAGAAGCTTGGCTTATGTGGAGTCTGCTAGCTAACTCGATTTTTTTCCAGATCATTATGTGTTCAGTGTTGGTTTTGGGGATCTTTCTGAAAGAAATCACATCCTCTGGTGTCTTGTTGGTGCTCAAGATGCTTTTTTAAGTTATATGGAAAAATGTTTAAGTGTTCTTCAGTTTTGTTTTGGTTGAGTTCTACTGTGAATATTATTGTGGGTTTTTTTTACCCTTGCATTGTTCTTCTTTGAATAGTTTTAATTTTTTGTATGTGTGTGTGTTTGATAATAAAGTTATTTTTAAAATAAAAAAATAAAAAAAGAAGGGGGCATCACAAGAAGTAGGAAGACTCCAAACTTTGCAGCCTCAAAATTGCAAAAGTGAAACACTTTGCTTTGAGAAGAGAGCCCCAGAGCCTCATGTTCCAGAATGGCCATGGCCTATGGAACTTGTTCCTTAGGATTTGGTTCATATGCACTGGATCCCTATAGCCAAGAGGCAGGAAGCCTGGCTAATACTCCAGCTGGCAGCAGACCTTGGCATCATCCATGTGATGCTGGTTTTAGGTGCAAACAGAATGTAAAAGTTGTGGCGTCGGGAAGGTTTCCACTCAGAATTCAGAAGAAGCCATGGGATGCCAGGCAGTGTCCCCCGAGAGGGCAGTGTGTAAAGCTGTGAGTGTGAAGCTGCAGGTGCAATGGAGACCCCAGAAGTTGGGAGAAGCCAGGAATGTGGATCAGCTGCGAAAAACTGCAAGGAGAAGTAGAGGTGGCTAAAGAGACAAGCCGAGAGGGCTACAGCCACCAGAAGTGCTTTAGGGGCGGAGCCACCCAAGCCCTTTGGAGTCCACAACTTGCCACAGATGCCGAAGAGGGTGGAAGTGGGACTGTGGGTTGCATATTTGTCCTGCTGGACTTTGGTCTTGGTTTGTACCCATTTCTTGCTATCCCCCTGTTTGTAACCTTTGGAATGGAAATGTCTCTCTTGTGCCATTGAATGTTGGAAGTGTTTAACTTTCTTTTCATTTGTGCAGGGGCCTGCAGCTGAGAGATTGCCTTAAATCTCAGAGGAGACTTTGGACTTGAACTTTACAGCAATGCTGAAACTGTTAGCACGTTGGCAACTGTTAGAGATGAACTAAATGCCTTTTGCGTAAAGCAATGTACATGAATCTTTAGGGAGCCAGGGGCTGAAGGTTATGGTTTGGGTCTAGATGTCTCCCCAAAGCCTCATGCACCCATAGATGTCTTATTCAGAGGTTGCTGAACCTAGAGTTTGTGTTGATGGGTTTAGGGCATGTGATTACTACATCAGTACAGTGATTGGTTTGACACCACCCTAATTCCTGTAGTTTGGATAAGAAAAAAGAACCAGAAAGACACTGTTAAGGTTCCCATGTTGTTTTGTCATCTTGTGTCTGTCATGAGCTGTTTCTCCTCTCTGTGTGGCCTTGCCTTGGAGCCAGTTGATTATGGACTGCAACCTCTACAAACTGTGAACTAAATAAACCTTTCCTCCTTTACCTTTGGACATCTGGTATTTTGTCTCAGCAACAAGGCAAGTAACAAAGACAGCTGTTATACAACAGTTCATTATGGTGTCAGCCCACAGCTGAGAAGCCTAATTCACCTCTTTACGGGGCAGCACAATGAAACAGGAAGGGGCCAGAGTCCCACAGTGCCCTTCCGGGGCACCACTACTTCCAGTCATGCCACAGGCTGGGGACCAAATCCTCTCCATGGGGGCCTTTAGGGATGTTCCAGACCCAAACCAAAGCAAAGGGGAAGGGGAAGAGGGATCCCTCTAGAGGAGGCGGTAGTGCAAGGATCCAAGGAGAGAGTGAGGAAGCGAGAATGTGGATCTGATGCATGTTATTATAATTTTTATTATTATATTTTTAGATGTTTGTTTCATTATTGCAAATTTGTGGTGTATTGTAATTTCTTTCCTTCTACATGTTGTGGATTTGGATTTGTTTTAGAACTTGAGATGCATCATTAGGCTATTTATCTGCTAATACTCCGTTTTTTTAACATAGGCACACACAGGTAGAAACGCCCTTCTTGGAACTCCTTTCATTGTGTGCCACAGGTTTGGGTATGTTGTATGACTATCACTTGATCTAAAGAAAATTTAGTTTTCCCCTTAATTTCTTCTATTAGCCACTGATTATTCGGGAATGTGTTATTTCATCTCCGTGTGTTAGTGGCATTTCTATGGCTTCTGATTCTGATGGTTTCTGGCTTCGTTCTGTTGCGATCTGATAGGATGCAGAGATTACTTTAATCACGTTTATTTATGGGAACATGCTTTATGGCGTAAGGCAAGGTCCGTTTTGGAGGAAGTCTCACGGGCTGCTGAGGAGAGTACATCGACTCTCCCTCTGCCTCTCCAGTGCAGGAACACTGTGGTGGGATTCAGGAGTCAGCTGGAGCATCCAGCATGGACCCTGCCTGCCAAGAAAATTCCCGTAATCACATCTGCAGAGATCTTCTTACTCAGAAGACCACATTGGCTGGGTGCAGCAGCTGAGGCCTGGGTTTTGGGGCTCTGTGCTGCCCTCAGAGCCAGGTTGTGATCTCCTGCACCCCGCCATGCATCCCCACCCCGTTTCCTTTCATCATCTGCCCCTGCTCTTCCACGTCCTGGCTGACTAGTGATCTCTTGAGTATGCAGCATGTTTGGGGAACAGCGGCCTGGATCCCTGAGAAGGACTCAGGGCGGTAGATTGAAAACCACGTGAGCTGGAGCAAAACACAATTTCATCTATCTCATCCCCTCATGTCGTCTGAATATATTACACCTTTTGAGGCACGTTTGCCTGTGAGAAGCAGATTTGCTACATGGAGGAAGAGCTCATCGGTAAGCCGAGGACAGACCGAAACTCACCTGCTTACACCGATGGCAGCGTCAGGGAGGAGAATTCACGGTGCCTTGGCTCGGAGCCCCTGCTCTCTGTGTCACGTGAGGACACTGCCTGCTTCTTACTCTGCAGGTGTTACACTCGGGGAACCACCGTCCTAGGTGCTAGGAAAACGATTTCTTGCTCATACTTTCAAATTACACTCAACGCCCCACCATGATGCATGGCCCTGAGGCTCCGCGTGGGGCAGCTGTGTTGAGCTCAGGTCATCCCTCCCTTTCCCATGTCCAGCTCTACAAATGCTTGCAGCACACTGCACGTTGGAGGGTGAATGAACGGTCAGCTGTCACCCACACTTTGCCTAGGACCCCTCTTCCTCTCTTCTGCCTTGCACACAGACCACACAGAGCCCTTTATTCTTCAGCACTCACCCACGGACACGGGAAAGGCTGTGCAGTTGCCGGGCCAGCTTGTGACATCTGTCTGGGCCAGCCCAGAGCTCAAGGGACGCTTCCAAGATGTGGCCAGGAGGTGGCCACTGCTCCTTGTCTGCTCCCTGGGCGGGTCTCTGGGGTTTCTGTGCTGTGCACAGAGGGAGCCGCTGCAGCAGGATGTGGGTCTGAGTTCCTCTTCTGTGAACCCCAGCCTTGTGTTCCTCCCTGGCTTCTGTGTCACACAGCGCTTCCCCTCCACACTGCTCCCTTCTCTGCTGACTCTCAGAAGCCCGGGATCCTCCAGCTCCGAGATGCTGCTTCCCCTGCTGCTGCTGTGGACAGGGAGGTGGGCCCAGGGAGCAGGGCCATGGGGGCCTCAGAGAGCTGATGGGCCTTTAGCCAGAGGGTGCTCAGCTGAGAGCCAGAGCTACAAGCTGGAAGTGCCACAGTCCATGCCTGTGCAGGAGGGTCAGTGTGTCCTTGTGACCTGCAGATTCTTCTACCCTTACAAGTACTCCCGGACTGGCTCTGTCTCTGGCTACTGGTTTCGAGAAGGGGCCAATACAAATACGGACTCCCCAGTGGCCACAAACGACCCACAAAAACCAGTGCAGGAGGGAACTCGGGACCGGTTCCACCTCCTCCTGGACCCACAGACCAGGAACTGCTCCCTGCAAATCAGAGATGCTCGGAGGGGCGACAGTGGTTCATACTTCTTTCGGGTGGAGGCAGGAAATGTACTATGGAATTACTGTGCACACCCGGTCTCTGTGGAAGTGACAGGTAAGGCCTGGGCCCCAGGAACAGGTTGTGGTGGCCTCTGGAGGTGGCTGGATAGGACCCTGACTTGGGAAGGGTTGGGGTTCAAGCATTAAGGACTCAGGAGGAGCTGGGTTGGGGCCTGAGCTTCCCTCAGGGCTGCACCTTCAGCCCTGCCTCCTGATCCTGGGGTCCCCTCTCCTCCCCAGCCCTGACCCACACCCCCGGCATCCTCATCCCCGGCACCCTGCAGCCTGGCCGCCCCAGCAACCTGACCTGCTCTGTGCCCTGGGCCTGTGAGCAGGGGACGCCCCCCATCTTCTCCTGGACGTCAGCTGCCCTCAGCTCCCTGGGCCCCAGGACCCCCCGCTCCTCTGTGCTCACCCTCAGCCCCCGGCCCCAGGACCACGGCACCAACCTCACCTGTCAGGTGATGTTCCCTGGAGCCGGTGTGACCGTGGAGAGGACCGTGCAGCTCAACGTCACCGGTAAGTACTGTGCCAGGGTCCCGGGGCCCTGGCGGGTGAAGGAGAGGAAGGCAGGGCCGTGGGTCCCACGCTGGCTCTGTGCTGGAAGCTTGGCTGAGTGCAGGACTCAGGAGAACACGGGTCCCGTCCCCTGGCATCGGTGTGCTTTCTGGAGTGGGGTTGGAGAGTGTCGCCTCATCTCCCCCTCCTTACCCCAAGTGAAGTGGGAAACAAACCCTGTCCTCCTGCCCCAGACCTTGCGGGGAAACCCCACTTTCAGGGTCTCCCCAGATCTGGCTCAGGTAGGGCGAGACTCCTGCCATGAGGCTGCTGTGGTTTATTACGGGTGCCAGGTGGGGCCAGAACTGTTTCTTGGGGTTTGAATACTGAGAGGTCTGCAGGTCATCGCGAGGCACCCTGCTCCGGCCTCTCTGACGGGTGAGGACATTCATGCGTGAGTAGCAATTTCTTCCTTTCCCAACCTAAGGCATGGTCTTTATCTCCCTCCAGGCAGTGGATATTTTGCAGACATTTAAAAAAATACCTTTCAGGTTTCAGAGCAGTGTAGTGTTCACAGCAAATTTGAGTGCCGAGTAAATACAGAGATTTTCCATGAATCCCGCTCTCACATGTCCACAGCGCCCTCTCCTCCTTGCTAACACACGCATCCGAGTGGTCCATCGCTAACTGAGGAACCAGCAGACCCACAGCGCTGTCAGCTGGAGCCTTAAGTTCACACCGGGGTTCGCCCTTGGTGGTGTACATTCCGTGAGAGCTCACCATGACAGTGTATTTCACACAGTAGTTTCATGCCTTTGGGCCATGTTTTTTCTGATCAGTCATTCAGTCCTTAGCCCTAACATCTGCCCAAAGATCAACCCAGTTCCCCTGCCCTGTCCAGTAGTGGTGGCATCTGGCTATGTCACTGGACAGTGGGCACCAGCAGGACAGGGCAACTCCCTCCCAGTGTCCAGGGACCCAGCTCTGAGTCTGGGTGTTGGGATCTCCCAAGGTACAGCCCGGCAGGTCCAGGAGGGCAGTCTGTGTCTGACTCAAAGGTTCAATCAGCACCTCCCTGTTCTACTTTACCTCCAAGGCCTTCTGTGGGCACAAAGGGCCCCCTTAACCCCAAGCAACAGGGCCAGTGCAGACCAGGAGAGGAGACTCTGACCCCTCCCTGGAAGGCACCAGGGACCAGGTCTGCAGCATCACTTGGCACTTTCTGACCCTGTCACCATCTCGGGGAAGGCCCATGGGCCCAGAGCTTCACACTTCTGCAGTGGCCAAGCCCTGGGTCTGATGCAGAGAGGCCCTGGGTGGAGAGGAACCTGGTTCCTAGGAGAGAAGGATTTGCTGGGCAGGAGGTGTAGGGTGGGCCATGTCCTGCATCGCACGGTTCTGGAGGCTGAGCTCAGGAGGCGTGAGAGGACTCAAGGCGCTGAGCCCCATCCTGGAGGTGAGGGCTTCCCTCAGCCGTGCCCATTCACCAAGGTTGGGTTCAGACCGAGCCTCCTTTCTCTGCAGGGAATCACAGGACAAGAGCAACAGCAGGAGTGGTTTTGGGGGCCATCGGGGGAGCCGGTGTCACAGCCCTGCTCGCTGTCTGTCTCTGTGTCATCGTCTTCGTGTGAGCCTCAGCTCTGGGCCGGCGGTGGGGTGGAGGAGATGGGCCTGAGCTGGAGGGACCCGAGGGCTGTGAGGGGCTGGAAGAAGGGTAGGGTGCCCTGGGATTGGGAGTCCAAGCTGTAGCCACTGGGCATGCGTGGCCTGGCCCCAGCCGAGGTGTCCGGGAAGTGGGCAAGGAGTGGGGAGAAAGGAGCCCTGCACAATGCCTGGTTAGGAAAGCCACCAGGCCAGCACTACCCTATACCTGCCATAGTCACTTGTTCCAGGCTCAGAACAGCGAGCTTCCACCTGAGCAGACCCAGCTCAGAGACTCTGGTGTCCCCCCTCAGAGTGAAGACCCTCAGGAAGAAAGCTCCCAGGATTACAGAGGACATGAATGACATCGATCCTGCCACCAGGCCAGCCTCACTGGTGAGTGACATGGCCACTCTGGGATTCAGGCTGCTCTCCAGAGCCCTCCGTGGTGTGGCTCACTGTTGCACCCCATTCAGTGTGCTCAGAATGGAACCGGTCACCTGCTGCCTCTTTACAACCTATGTATCAGTTTTATTCAGGCACAGCAAGGCCAACCAACCAGGAGACCGCCACACTGCAAAGACAATTTGTGACTCACAGTTCCCGTGTCATGCAAGAACACATGGAGGCACCAGGCTGGCCAGGAGGCAGAGTGAGGGCAGATGCAGGAGAGAGGCTCTGCTGTAGCCTTCAAAGGGGAGGCAGGTGTACAGGCTCTGCAGGTTTGGGACTGGCTGCACCGCATAATTTCAGGAGGCTCTGGAATAAACATCACTACCTCCAGTTGCCTGATGCCAGCCCGGAGTTAGTAGGGCAGAAGGCTCATGGGCCCGGGTGTAAGCACTCCATAAAGATGTGGTTTAGAGTGGGCTTTGGGTTTGTTCATTGGCACACCAATGATACACTTGTAGATGGGTCCTTTACTGTCTGTGGACATTGGCTGTGCCTGGGAGAGGCAGCCTCTCATGTAGCAAGGGCCTGGATGGCAGCACATCACAAACACATAGCTCACACATGCCTCAACGCACTTCTCCTGCTGGCTTTCCTGACTGATGGCAGCCCTGTCCATGTAACCCAACCAGAGGCCCAGCACCGTTCCACCCTGGTTCTCTCTCCCCTCTTCCTCTCCCATAAGCCCCAGAGGATGTCAGGGCCTCTTCTGAGATCGTTGACCCAAGGCCTCCCTCTGAGCTATGTTCCCCTCTTTTCTTACTCTGCCGCCATCCCTCCTCCATGTGTTAGCATCACCCACACACGATCAGTGCCCCACACCCTCGTGATGAAATGCTTGCCACTGCCAAAAGGTGGTCATCCCAACAGCATAGTCTGGCATTTGAGTAGGAAGATTGGAGCACTCTCAGTACACAGTCTCCTCCCTCCCCTCAAGCTGAGGGAGCTCTCTGCATCTCGGGAGCTTGGCTCAGCTGCCCCTCCTCCATCCAGGCCCACATCAACCTGCCCGATTCTGCTCATCACTTGAGCACTGATTTTCATTTATTTACATCTTTCTGACTAAGCCACTGTAAGGACTGTAAGGCCAGAGTCAGCAATACCAGGGCATTCATTCAGCCCTTCAGCAAATGATCAGTTCCCCTGTGCCAATTATTTTAGATGCTTGGGGCACATCTGTATGCTTTTAGATCTACCATAATTATTAGGTATTTCGAGCAAAAGAGTGACACAAACTGACAGCATTTGAATGAATCGCTCTGTGCTGTTAAGAATCCTACCCTGGGTGGGGTAAAGAGGGGAGATCAGATAGGAGGAGACACCAGTAACTCAGCAAGGGATGAGGTAACACAGGGTGCCAATGATGAGTGTGGGTAGGGAAGGGGATTCTGGATACTTCTCAAAGGCTAAGCCAATGGATTCTGCTCATAGAGTGAAGAACTAATTGTGGGGGGCCGGGGATGTAGCTCAGTGGTTCCGCCGCCTGCCTTGCAAGCGCAAGGACCTGAGTTTGATTCCCAGTTAAAAAAAAAACCCCAAAAACTTACAACTAATTTCGGGGCACGTGCCAAGCTAGCACACTGTCTCTACTGTGTATCTACCATAGACGTTGACGATGACTCCTAGGCTTTTATTGATGTCGCAGGTGTCTGTGTGTCACAGATGACACCACTATGGTAAATAACTGAATTCCCAGTGTTGGAAACTGCCAACCCTGCACGAGGAGTAATTTTTCAAGAAAAAAAAATCAAACATTATTTTGTTGGAGGCACCTCTGAGAATTCAAGTGGAGACAACAAGTAGATGGCAAGAGTGAGCAGTGAGGAGAAGGGATCCAGATGAATACAGAATCGGGGGCCCCGCCACGGGGAGGCCTGAGAGTGGACAAAGCCACGAAAGAGGAGAGGCCACAGACAAAGCCCTGCACCCTCCAGGATTCAGAGCTGGGGAGATGAGGCAGAAACAACGAGACTCCTGAGAAGGAGCAGCCCAGGAGGAGGACAGATGAGGGAAGCGCAGGGGGGTCCTGGGCCCGGAGGAGGCGGGGCTGCAAGGAGGGCGGGGTCTGAATGTTTGTGTGAAGCTCTGCTGGCTCCAGCGACACTGGCCCCAAGCGATGACTGCACACTGTGTCACATCCCCGCTGACCTTGACCAGCACAGGTGTGGTAGCCCGAGGAGGAAGAAATCTCTCTCGATAGGAGAAAGTTCACGAGAGAAGGGGCGGAGAGGAAGTGGAAATTGTGTTTCAGGAAGCTCCTGAAAAACACTGCCCCAAATCTAGAACTGAGAAATAGGCTTGCAGCGAAAAATGCTTCTGCTTTGGAAACCGTGACATTTCTATGAGCACCCGAGCCCTGTGTCCCCTAACGCCACGTCACCCACCGTGTGACCCCTCCCACCTTGCAGCTTTGCAGCTGCCCCAGCACATGGACTCCACAGGACAAGGCCGGCCCCGATGCGCCTCTCTCTATTCTGTTCCCTCCCGTTCACCTGCGTGGAGTGACAAGTGTCCCTCCGTGTTCACTTAGCAATGTTTGCCTTCATCTCCTTTAGCACTGGAAGCCACAGGGCCCAGCTCTGCAGTGCTCCCATCCTGTCCTTGTATCCGCTGCCAAGCACACAGAGGGTCTCGGGGTCAGCAGGGGTTGATTTCATGATCAAAGGATCAATGACCTTTCAAAGTACTTAATCTCTCTAAGGTTTAGTTTCCCTGTCAGGAAAATGGGCAGAACAACAGTGTTGTCCACACAGGTCCTGTTGTATTTTGGATAATGGAGTAAGCGATGCCTTCAGCCGTGTTCGGTGGGAGAAAGAAAGGTGAACAAATGCACTGCCAGAATGGAACCCTCTCTACGGACCCCCTCTGGCGTCTCCCGGTTCCCTCCCCACTGCTCTGCTGTGATTCCCTCCTTTTCTCCAAACAGGGTCACCCGCCAGAGTCCCAGCTGCAAGGCTCTGCTGAGCCCTGGGGTTCCTCGGGGGCGCCCCCCGCCTCAGGGGAGGAGGAGCAGCTGCACTATGCCTCCCTCAGCTTCCACCCCTGGAAGAAATCCTCCACGCCAATCAGGATCCACTGACAACTTTCTTGATCCACTGACAACTTTCGGGAACACCAGGCTCAGCCAGATTCAGCCTCTGGGGGACACCAAGTTGCTTCAGTGAGATTTAACATCCCCCGAGGCTTTGAGTTTGTAAACTGCCGCAGCGAGTTTCCTTCGACTTGGAAATGACCTCAGACGGCAATGAGAAAGCTGGGATGCAGTTGTTGTCTAAGAAGAGTCCTCATGGGGGAGAGCTGGGTCACCCCAGCGCGTCTCAGTTTCCTGCTCTGTGAGTGGAGCAAGGAGCTCTGGTTCTCAAGGCTGTGGCGAGGATTCAGTAAAGCACACGAGGAAGACCCCAGCAGAAGTCCTGGTGTGTACCGAGGGCACCCTGCTTCCTCGCTTTGGCCATGGAGTCCAGAGCCCCGGGCTGCCCGGTCCTGGAAACTGTCAGCAGCCAGTCAGCGCCACTGGGAAGCCTTTCCCTGACTTGACCTCCCCTCCTGCGTCATTTCTGTCTCCACTCCTCAAGTCTGCTCTTCTTTTCATCTCACTTCTCTCTCACTCTGACTTTCCATCCCTTTGTGTCCTGCTACGGGCATGGTCATGTTAGCATCTGACACTTTCTTAAACTCAGAGATGACCATCGTCAGAATATATCACTAGCTCCCCAGTCCAGAAAGGACAATTGATAAGATTTTCATCGTGACCTTCTAGGCCAAAGATTAAACATCTTTGTAAAGGGCCAGAGAGTCAGTATTTTCGGCTTCACAAGCCACAGATTCTGTTGCAGCTATGCCACTCTGCCCTTGGAGCACAAAAGCTCGTGACCAAGTGTGGCTGGATCCAGTAAAGCATCGTTTACAGACAGCACTGGGCCTGCAGCGGCTGAGCTTGCCTGTTCCTCTGCTCCCCGCTGTCAGTGCTGCTTCCTCCGGGATCTGGCCTCACCTGAGCCTCCCATTAGAACAAAGGAGAAGAGCAGGAGTCAGAAACCTCAGCCCTTGTGGCCGGTACCTTTTCCCATTTCTTCCCACCAGACAGAGGCCGGCCAGGAGGGGAAGGGCTGCGGGGAGGCAGCACAGCTGACTCCTGATTGGCAGTCCCAGCCTGAACTGACCCACACCTCTCCCATGCCTTTGCCCTCCTAGGATTCTAAGACTCTGGGTCAGGCCTTTCTGCAGAGTTAGGGAGCACCTGAACTCAGTGTGATCTTGTTTCAGCACCAAAATCAGCAAAAGCATCACCATCCCAGCCCTTTTTAACTTTTATTTTGAAACAGAGTCTCCCTCAGTTTCTCAGGCTGAACTTGAACTTGCAACCCTCCTGGCTCCTCCTCCAGAGTGCAGTGATTTCAGGCTTGTGTCCCCACGCCTGAGTAGGAAGATGTGTCTGAGTGGAAGGAACATCCCTGGGCCGAGCCTTGCAGACTCCTGTGCAGAGGCAGGAGGAGCCCACAGAAAGGGCTGGTGACAGTCTACATCAGGGGTGGGCTCCTTGCGGCCTGTGGGTATTAACTAGGGATTTTGCTCTCCTGAGGCGGGGATGGGTCAGTCCCAGGTATCCCAGGAGTCAGATGGTGATAACAAAGCCATTCCTGGGGCAACATGGGAAGGAAAGCATTAATCACTCAAACAGTGACGTTTTGCACAGTTGCAAGGCCTTGGGAAAAATAAGACTTGTGTTTAGTGTATTTCTCCTCCCGCCCACCCTGAATAACTGCAGGCTTCTGTTTTCTGTCTCCACCTGTGCCCACTTGTGTTCTCCCGGTTGAAGGCAGGCCTTTCCTCTTCCTGTACTTCCTCGCACTTCTGTCTGGAGCCTTCCAGTCTCCTGCAGTTGATCTCAACCCCTGCAGGGCTCCCACACCAGTTCCTGCCAAGACCCCACCTGCAATTTCTTTCCAGCCCAGCTGTCCGAGCCCAGAGCCCTGGGGAGCCAGCAAGTCTGGGTGCTTCCGATAGGACGCTGAGACCAGAAAACAGGAACTTCCCCCTCCACATTCCCCTCCGCGTGACCCTGCTTCCGGTCCTTGTCCTGCTCAGGTGCCCACCACAGGCCAGGTTCCTCTCAACAGGGGCCTCTCAGGACCCACTGCATCAGATAGCTGGCCATGGTGGGCATGGCCAGGGCTGAAACACACACAAACCGAGGGGCAAACACACACACACACGTGCACACATGAGCATCCTCCATTGCTCCGAAAGTAAGAACCAGGACTCTCATACAGACATAAAGTTAGCACATTAAAGATTTTACTTTCGGTATTATTAGTCAGGGGACAAGGACGGGTTGAAAGAATCACAAATTACATAGAGAATGAAAGAATGTTGGAGTGAATTTGTGAATGCATGTGAAATTGGCTCGCTGTGGGATTTAAATAAACCTCTAACAGACAACACATGAACTACTTGCATTTCTATTACTTATCACAACATTCTAGCATTGTAAAATAGGTAAAAGGCAAAACAAAAATGCTAGAATCAAATCACCCCAGAAGATTATACTCTAAGGAACATATTTTTTTTAAAGATACCCAGTAATCTTGTTTTGCTTTTCTAAATTTCCTTACAATTCTTTTTTTTTTTCTTTTGGTACCAGGGATCGAACTTGGGTCCTTGCGCTTGCCCAGCAGGTGGCAAAACCACTGAGCTAAATCCCCGGCCCTTCCTTACAATTCTTAAAGCAACTATTTATTGAGGGCCAAAGATTTAGCTCAGTGGTTCTGCCACCTGCCTTGCAAGCGCAAAGTCGAGTTCAATCCCCGGTGCCAAAAAAAAAAAAAATACATATATATATATATTTATTGAGTATTTATCATATGACACACATTTTTTCTAGAAAGCACTCAGCAGTGAACAGATAAGATACGAAATCCTTCATGTGACTTACATTTGAATGGTGGGAGAGTTAGGAAGATACAATTAAGCAGATTATATGCTATTTTGATTGGTCATAAGAATTGGAGAAAAACAAAACATGAAAAATAAAGAGGAAATAAGGGATGGATTATACTCCTCAATATGTTGTCCCTGGACATTATCAATGGGAAATGGACATTTGAACATAGATATAGATATGGCATGTGTGTGCATGACTAATGTCATCAGCTATACATACAATCATGAAGTGACATCAGTCACACTGTCAGTGCACACACACACACAATTCACACATGCATCAAAGAGACCACACATACACACACACACACACACGCACACAATTCAGCATGCCCACACACAGACCACAGACACACACACTTCAAACACACACACATATACACAAACACACTTCCAAATTCACATATACACTTCACATACATACACACACCTCATGTACACACAAAGACTACAGACACACATGTTAGTAGCATGTCCTCAGGCCAACTAGACCCAAAGTGCCAGGAGAAAAGAAGTAGCAGGAATGCTTGTGACTCTGGGAAGATTTGCCCACTCGGGTGACTTTCATTTCTCAGTTACCCCTCTCCCCTGCTCACTGACCGATGTCAATGTCCACCTGTCACTGCTGCCTGAGGCTCAGCAGAGTCCCCTGGCCTTGCCACGCTGGGGCTCACCTATTGGTGCAGCCACAGTTACACCCACACTCAAATTGAGGAATGGGCCCCTCAGCTTTCTCTAGACAGTCAGGTTGAGAAGGGAGTCGAGAAGCAGAGGAACAAAGAAGGATGGACTCTGGGGTCACAGGCCAGGGTGGGTGCATAATTAAGCGGCTTCTGTCCCCTGAAGATGCTCTGCACATCCTGCTCTGAGGGCCCAATGAAGGTGTGACTGGACACACAGGGACCCCCTCCCCGCCGTGGAAATGAGAAGACATGTAAACAAGCCTCAAAAACAGACTTCCAGATCACCTACAGCAACCCCAAAGGGAAATGAGATGGAACA